CCCCAAAACCCCAAAACCCCAAAACCCCATTTATCAACAATAGTGAAAAGTTGAAAAATGATTCTATATATTATGCTTAATTAATAAATTAAGTCCAATTATGGTTAATTTTTGTTACGTTTTATCATGTTTTCTCTAATTTTCTCTCCTGTTTATATATTTTAGAAGTGTAATTCATTTCAAATCAAGCCATTGTTATTATTTCTAAGATCGTTATTTGCATTGATATTAATCATGTGACTTATATCTATTCCCATTTATATTCCAAGTTGCTACTGCAAATTAGCTACTGCTGAGCTGTTTAACTGCTAAGATTCATCAATCATTCCACCAATCATTAATCCACAGAATGGATTATGCTGAGTGTTCCCAGCATAATAGTAATAAGGATTATGCTAGTTCAGTAATAAGTTGTTTCCATCAGATATTGAAGGCTAGGTCGTAATCTATTGACTTAAATGAGATCTTCTGGGTGGTCTTCCTTTTCGACCTCTTCTTATCTGTCTTTAGTAAGCCATAGCAGGATAATTACTCATTTAAGGCTGCAACTAATGAATTTATTGCTAGTTTTAGTTGTTAAGCACTTCTTGAAAAGCAGATTCAATTTAAGTATTCTTGATAATTTGTTCATCTAGGACTAAATTGTTGAAGCCTTAGTTAGTGTCAATTTATAAATGGCCCTAACTGTTGCCATTTTTAGGAGGCCTACCTCTCCTCTTCGGTTGAACTAGTTAGAGTTACAAAGGTGTTTTACCTGTATTTCCTAAGGTATTAAAGTTATTGTTTTAATCTTAATAGGTATCATTCTGATTCGTTAGGAGATTGTTTTAATTACTACAACTATTATATAGATTGCTAATTAATTGATCAGAAATTAGTCTTTAATTTTCAATCTCTGTATCTTTATTTGTATTCGCATTGATGTTTGAGTCCATGTCACCAAACAATATTCCCTAGCCAGTAGCCTATTCTATACTCTTAAATTTACTTAATTAAATTTACTTTAAAGGGATAGAGATTTACTAGCAGATGTGCTGATGATGCTTTCTTGTATTCCTCTAAAATCTGCATTAGCACATTTAGTTAAGTCCACAAATAGTTGATCTCTCCCTTCATACTGAATTGTGTTTTGAACTACACACTTCTGTACTTCGATTAAACCTTCAATAGCCATGCAAAAGCACTTCTTTATTCTTTTGAGCTGTCTGGAAATATCTTTTGGTTGTAATGTTGTTTTGGAATAAACCAGGTGACTTGTTGGGTATTCAGCATTTTCTACTTTGATATATGTTGGCTGTGTTTATTTTTCAGACATTTTCAAGTCTTAAGTCTGAGATCGTTGCACTCTCCCACGCTTTATAGATTTAACAGAAGCTTAAGTCTCATCTGTTTAGCTATAGGTATTGACTGAGTTTTCTTACTGCTAATTAGGCAAAATCTAGGAAGTCTTTGTTATTATTAGATTTTAAGTTGACCCACTCTAAGTCTGAGATTTGCTTTAACTAATACTCTTACTTATTATACTATGATTGACATTCTGCTTTTAATCACTTTATACAGTAGTAGTAATTTTATTAGCTTATTCCTCGTTACTATCATTTTAATCATCCTCCATATCATCATTGCTAACATCATTTACTTCACTTTATAATTCCTCAGAATCCTAATTGATTTGCATTGCCTCTCCAGCTTCTTTGGACTCAACTTCAACTGCCTTATTTATTGCATTTTGTTGAGTTTGATTTTATTAAGAACTCTTCCTATTTGAATTATTAGTCAAGTAGCTTTTGATATCGTGTGCAGCTGCAGCTTAGCTGAGTAATTAAGATAAACTTGGCGACTTTGAGTGCTAATCATCATCTTGACAAGTTTAGTAAAGATGTGAATGTGATTTTTAAGTCTCAGTTTAAACTTGTCTTTATTATGAAGGCTAGGCAGTGTTTGTTGTTAATTACCTCTCAGTTGATTACTCTACAGTATTTTGATCTACTTCTGACTATGTGGTGTAATCACTTTAGTCTTGCTTCATTTCACTCTTTACTTTTTCGCTTAATATATTCGTGGGTATGGCTGGATTTTGTCTTTTTTTGACCCTTTAAATTTCAAAAATAAGATGTGCTTATGAAACAGATCTTGATTTTCTTCCTCTGCTTCTCTTTTGACTATCATTACTTTGTTTGATTGTTGATTCTGGTTTTTATTAGCACTCAACAACACTTTAACCTTTGTTCTTTATAATAAGTCCGATGTACTTTTACCCTCTCTTTTTCCTCTTTTTTGGAGTTTTATCTGGGTTTATCTCCATTATTATTTTCCCTTTGGCAGGTGTATTAGTTTAACTTTTACTACTTGAGCCTGAATTTTTACTCTATGCCTAAGCCTAATTATCTTAATTCTCACAGGCTTGATTATTATCCTTTTAAGATTTATCAGCTTGCTTCTGCTATCGCTTTTTTTCTCTTTTAGCCTAATTAGGAGTGTGTTTAGCCTAAGGAGGTAGGCTATCTTCTAAAGAGTCAGTTAATGTTTAATCTAAAGAATGCTTCATTTCTTTATCTATCTTATCGTTTAAGAGTATGTCCAAGCTATTTTCATCATTAGCATTGCAATTAATCTGCATCATGTTTGCATTAGATTTTTAATCATGCCTTTGCTAATTAGACTAGTCCTCAGTTTCTTCTTGCTATTCCTAATTAGTATCTAGTTTATTGTCTTCCCTCTGTTTGCTTCTATTCTGAGTAAGATGACTAAGCTCATCTCCGAATGATTTTATTGAGGATACCTAAGTTAGCATTACATCTTTTCTAAACAGTGATCTCTATGTCTGATTATCTAAGGTAGAATCAGGTGATATAGGGGAAAAGCGCTGAACATGCCTATCAATATCTAAGCTTTCATCAAATTGCTCATCTTCTTAATCGCCTTCTTCCTTTTCCTTATCAAATTCTAGCTCATCATTATTGAACATATTTTGGCAATCTTCTAATGGTTATTATTTACTTAATTCAGGATCATCAATTTCCATCTTCTCATTTTAAGATTAAGTGTTCGCTTCATTTACTGGAGTCTCTATCTAAGATAAATTTGGCAAGCTAGGTTCAATCTCAGATAGCTAGGAAATCTCTGATTCCTCCTCTCCAAGTAGCATGTGAGAGTTAAGCTAAGACACCTCAACAGAATTGTCTGAAAATTAGGAACTAGCTGAAGGTATAGTTGTGAGCTGAGATTTAATAGCACTTGGCTTTGGGATTGGAAATTTACTCATATTTAGTGATAGTTTTTGATTCTAATAAAAGATTTAAGTTTAGTACTAAAATCGAGTTAAATTTATTATTTTGCTTTTCTAATTCTATGCTTATTATTTGATTATTTGATCTTGCGGGGTTTTGGGGTTTTGGGGTTTTGGGG